TAACATGGCGGTGGGAAACCCCAAACCCTAAGTTGCAAGCCCTAAATGGGGTTTTGCGTAGGAGGCGAAGGACCGATGGAAACCTGAAGCTTTCTCTTCCACGAACCTGAAACACGCAGCTTTCTGATTTTCTTCAGGAAACTGACACAAGGTGCGAACAAATTCAAGCCTCTCTACGTAATGTAAGCGCCTCAAGAACTAGCAAGGCTTTCGAGCTATATTATGCTATTACACGTATCAGGAAACTCTTTCCGATTTCTATAGTACTGTGCCTTCGACAGATGACTCGAGGCACACTTCGCCCTGGTCAGGGGCTCCGAAACAGTGTTCATGGTTTTAGGGTTCAGGGTTACCCCTAATTTAGAATACTACCCACATGCCGGGCAGCGTTGCAAGACCAGTTCCAACAGTCGTCAGCCTCGCTGGTCCATGCAACCTGAGCTTAACCCTTGAGCCACGAAGATCCGAGGCTGTGCATTCCCGGTGCAAGGTTCACGGTTTCGGGTTGAGGACGAACGTATCGAATCAAAACATCACCCGTGCTTCTACTTACTACATGCTCTGCCCTGCTAATGCTACTGCTGCTGGCGCTGGCACTACTACCGCTGCTACTGCTACCACTACGACTATGACTACAAATACTACTGCTACTGCTACTGCTACCACTACGACTAGGACTACGACTACGACTGCTACTACTTCTTCCTCTGCTACTACCACTACCACTACCACTACTACCACTACCACTACTACTACTACTACTACTACTACGACTACTACGTGACACTGGCTGTACCAACGTCAGTGCCCCCTCTCCATGTGGGGATCTCCGGCCAGGAACGAGAAACAGATGTCATCCAAATGAGGGATTGGAACTACGTTTTGGGGTGCAGAGTCTAGGGACGCTAAACACCAAATCACTAAATCGGCGATTAAAGTAGTAATCCTTAGAAATACATGTTATGTAGAACTCCGACATTGCCCTGACTCACAAGACGGTCGGGTTCAGCATTTGCGGAGACTCCTCGGAAAATGGTGGAATCTTGGGTTTCAGCTCTCCAGATTTCGGACACTCCAGGGGAAGCCCCTGGCCTCCTTTTCCTGCGCACAAGCCACTATCTCTCAGCCACATTGAGCTGAGAAAATGACATACGTGTCGGTTCAGAAACCCAGTGCCAGCCCAACAAACGCAAACCAACCAGAAAACATACTTTGAACATCAACCTCGACACAGAGCTAAACCCTTCAGCTTATCTCCACGCTGGCTTTGGGATTTGGTCATAACAAGGACATGAGATGATGACTTGCTCTCATCGGAAATAGTAACCGTACTAGCGGCAGCTTCGCTGCCGCAAGCCAGGCATGTGAGAATGATAAGAGGCTGATTCGGTAACGTAGCTCCGGCCCGAGAGAAATCCCCAGAGACTCGGAACAAAACGTCAAAATGTTCAAGCTGGAACGATCTTTGCCCCCTTGGTCGCCAAACGTGTCCAGACCGTGAGCAGGGGGCGAAGCAAACGGCACGGGATGGTAGCAACCAGGATAAGCGTAAGAAGCCTAAACGTTTGAAGCCTAGGTAACTTATTAATACATATGAGAGTCTGCAATATGTTTACGAGTACGTGTAATTATGCAGATAAGCATATAGATGGATGGATGGATGGATGGATGGATGGATGGTTAGATAGATAGACAGATAGATAGAGAGGTAGATCGGTTGTGACAAGCACGACTGTCCCAGCAAGATCCCCGGAGTGAAAGGCCTACTCTCAGCGGAATTGGCTAAACTGCCAATGCCTTTTTTGCCTACATGCCTTGACTGCCTGTCACCGAGTTGGGCTTCAATGCAACTACAGAAGGTATGACTGGTGCTCTCCAGGATGGCACAGTAAAGAAGGTGCCTTGACACACATAAGCCTTTGACAGCTAAGACACCCCAACATAGCTTCGTCTTGTCGTATGTCTCCCCGTATGTTGCTTGAACAATGCTCGAAGAGGTTTGGGAAGTGGGGGTCCAGGGCACTTCCCTCTACTCGGCACCGGCCCGCAGTCTTAATTACATGCACGTCATTTCCTTGCGTTGGCCAAGCAAAGGCATTGAAAAGAAGAGCGCTGCGTCAGAGCCAAAGCAGCCAGACTCCGTTCCCTACACAAACTCAAAACATGCCTGCTTTCAAACCTCCCAGTGCGAGCTGCTAGCTGCAAGCTTCCATGCGTCGTGGAAACGGGCCAGTTGCGGCTTTGGGACTGGACTCCAAGACTTGCAGAGAGTTGAAGGGTAGGTGCTCCAACACTCCTGAGGTGGAACAAAGCATGAAGCTCCCACATTGGATAAAGTTCAATGAGTGTTAGTGTACATGACAAATTTCGACAATGAGGGAGCACAGCTGTGCTCTCACCGGTTTACATCATAGCACAAATTGTTTCTCACTCTTCGCGCTGAGACTCGTAGGCCTAGCTTTGGGCTTACTTTGCCTCGTCCACGTGCACCGTCTGGTATCCCACTTGATCCTGGGCTGCAATGCCAACGGCGCCGGCCTGCAAATCTCCAAGAACGCAGGGGGACCCCTCAAGCCATTCGAATCATGTCCTTAGAAGCACTCGCGGGCTGTGGCGACCCCAGCAAAAAACAGCCCGCTGCTTGAATTGTGACTGGGGCGTATGCACCCTGTCTTAGCCACAGGCGCACAGGCACACCGGTTTTTCGTTTTTTCCGCTGTGAACTGGTGTTCTTCTAGCACCCTCACAGCAACGGTGAGAAGCATGGGTCGCGCAACACAGGTACATGTATGTACTAACAAGGTCGGAAACAACTGAAGGACCGGATAACATCACATGCCAAGTTTGTTTACAAGCACTGCTATGCGAAGTGTGAGAGAGACAGGGAGTTCAATGTGAAGAGACAGAGAGAAACAGACACAGAGAGACAGAGAGAGAGAGAGAGAGACAGACAGACAGTGCCGCGGCCACGCAAAACCGCATTTGCAGGCAGGAAGTCCTGCGCCCGCTGTGCGTAAGACCAATTGAAGTACTGCTCTGCTCACGTGAAACCGCATCTACAGCCAGGAACTCCCGCACCCGCCACGTATCACCTTCTCGACCACCCGCAGCCAGTCAATTGAAAAAAGTACGCCACCCGCACAACCGCATGTGTCAGCATAACTGTCAGCCTTGCCACGAACCGCCTTGGCAGGCGGAATAAAGTACTGCACTCGCCACGCGGAAGCGCATCCATGGGCTGGAAAAGGCTTGCGCCTGCCAGGCAGGACACAGCATCACCGCGGCGACCCACCGCGAACGACCCAAACCGGTCAGCATAAGGTGCTGCGCTTGCTATGCACCATCGCATCGGTCGGCGTAAAGCACTGCACTCACTGGCCACGCGGAACTGCATCCGATCCGCCGGCCAAACATCTTGCGCCTGCCACGCGCAGGATACAGCATCACCGCCGCGACCCGCCGCCACCGGTAGGCATAAAGTACTGTGCTTGCCACGCATCACCGCATCAGAGTCCACTTTTGCGAGCACTTGTCCGAGGAGCTTCCCACAAAGAAACCCGCACCATGTCAAGACCCAGCGACAAAGGAAAGACTTCTATCCGAAGAGGTTGGACACCACAGGCTCAAGTCAGAGGAGCCGTTTTATCCAAACGACATGGAAGGAGCTTATCCATACTGGCACTCGAATGCACTGCCAATGCGTATATCCAGATGAACACCTTCCAAACAACGAAGAAATAGACCAGAAGTGCTTCAGAGGGGTTGTTGAACATTCTGTCAGAACAGAAGGAGCCATCTGAGGCGTTTTCGTGCTAGTGAAACCAATGGCGGAAAGTGTATGTATGTATGTGTGTGTGTGTATATATGTATATATATGTGTGTGTGTGCGCGCGTGTGTGTGTGTATATATATATACTCACTTTATAATTAAGGCTATCTGGACACACTGTGGTTGGAACCACAGCCAGCCCAAAATCTTAAGGATTAGATTAGCTCCTCCTTCCTCTTGTGGCCCCCACTGGTATCCATCACGACAAAAAAACCTCTAAACCCGTGAACCGCCAAATGCCCTGCAATGCCCTGCCGGTCCCCAAAGAGGGGATGTATCTTGCGGGCAGCCTTGAGAGATATCATGGCCGTTCATGTTCACAGCCGTATGCTGCCGTATGCTCGTGAGTCTGTGCTAGTCTGTGTACGGAGCGAGGCAGACTGGAGCATGTCGTTTCACAACCTTCCTTCTTTTCCTCCAAATCTCCGACCCTGGGGATGTTTAGCAGAAGTAGGCCCCCAAGAATGCTTCCAGAAATGGGCAATAACAAATCTCAGAACGCATACCGCATACTTGTGAAGCGTGGAAACCTCAAAGCCCTAGACTCTTGAGGAGCTCCCGAATCTCTGGCCTTGTCAGTGGGACATACCATGCCAAGCGCCTGCAGAAAGCATTTTGGTCCTATCGACTTTCGTCTCGTTGTTTTCACGAATTACCTGTAGTCTCCATTGTAGTTCCTTTTTTTGGTTTAACCGTTATATATTAAGGATTTCATAAGGTATCCCCCAAAAGGAACTACAATGGAGACTACAGGTAGATCGGACTGCTAGGCAGAGCTAGAGACGTGGTTCTTGCACGACGAACCACGAGAACCTGGAGCGGTGCCCAAGTACAGGTTTGGGACGCAGACTCCGAGCATCGAAACACGCGTAAAACAAAGAACTGTTATGGTTTGGGGGATTTTTTGGCGGTGGGGTCGGCGAGGCACATAGGGTGCAACAAGCCTACCGCGACCCTTGAATCTAACACAGTTCGTGGAACAAGGCCCTTCTCCAACACGGATGTCCAGATGTGCGCACTTGCGGGACTACTTTACTCCTTGACGTTCAGATTATTCAGCCCGGGCCCTGCCAGTGCACTTATTTCAGGCTTGGGGCTATTTTGCTGTGTAGTTGCTGCCATCATCCAGGGATGGAGCTTGCCAGGAAGGACATTCCGCACGTAAGAAAAATTACGAAGAGGCTTTAGACTCTCTGGTGCTGGCCTTCTTTGCAAAGAGTGGCCCCAAGTTGAGCGCGAAGAAGGCCGCGACGGGCAGTATCATAATGACTAAGACAGCCAGAGCAGCGAGAGTCGGCCACAGAGGCTCCTGCCACCTGAAGCAACCAGGGGACAGCTAGGACAGCTACATCCATCCCTCGCCCTCGACCGTCAACCCCTCACACTGACCTTAGAACTCGGACATTCTGGAAACCGAAGCGCGCAAATGCAACCAAGTAATGTCGACCCTCCACCAGTCTAGAGGTATACCTTTCTATACCTTTCTAGCACCATGGGTTCATGTTTTGGGAGGTCGAAACTTTTGTGCACACTGGAACCTAGGGATGTGCCCTTCTCCTCTGCACTGAGCCCAGCACCACAAGCCCAGGATGTACCCAGCCGAAATGAAGCAGATCGTGGCCGCAGCGAGAAGCCTGGGTGTCTGAGACTGAAGCCTAATCGTCCCTCAAGTCGCAAGACTCAAATTCTGAACTCATCAACAGCGAAACCCAGAACCTAGCTCTCGAAAACAGTTTCGAAAATCGAGCGCTCACCATCTTAGACCGGGGGATTCTTTTAAAGTGTCTTCAAAACAAGGGCAAACTAGATTTTCCCAGCAATGGAAGCCCAAAAAACTTCTACGTCAGAAACTAATGGAGAACAAACTTGCATTAACGTCTCCCTGTCGAACTGGCCGGCTCGAAACTGGCACCTCTACCCACCGCCCGAATTAGCGTGCGAGGGGTCGGGTAGTCTTTAAACGCCAAATTCTGTAAAAGCAGCATGGACTCGAGCTTGTTCAAGTCCCTGGAATGGGATGCGTCCGTATCGAAAGGATCCGCATAGCTGTGAACCGCCAACGCCACCAGCATAACCTGGGCCAAAGAGACATGGGGTGTGGGTTAAGGAGCTTGGCTCCCTCATGGCGCCCTTTTCGGAGGGACGCCAAACACCTTACACTCCAGGTCTTGTCCTTCCGACTTACGCCAACCGAGAAAGGCTTGCGGATGATGGCGATTTGCAGCGCCTCTCCGATTGAGCCCTACTTTAGCAGCAGAAACTGTGGCCCTATTGCTATCAATTGCCACTGCCATCATAGAAAACCCCTTGGGAGACATCTGTGCCAGTTGAAGAGGCCTCGCGTGTTTCTATTTGAGAGGATATGTGCAGGCTTTTGACCTGGCACATACAAACATGAAGGGGCTGTACTTGTTGTACTTACACCCGCACCATCACCCGATTGCAGCAGGGCTGCACCCTCCAAGCAGGCGATGTACCTGCACGGCTGGGGCTCAAACTCCAATGCATCCTGCTCTAGCAGAACCCCTCATCCCGCCCTCAACACTCCCGCTTGATCTAAGCAACTCCGAATCCTTGCTCTAGCAGCGTCAATTCTCACCTTATCGGACGTTGAGGTTCATGCACGGAAATCCCCTGTATGGCAGGTAGACACCCCACAAAAATACCTTTATTGCATGTCTAGAGCTTTTGACTTAGAAGCTCACACTCCCAAAACCTCGAATCCTGCGTCGTTGCCTGCTTGGTGCAAAGCTTACTGGGATCTTTGCCGCCAGGAAAGTCAGGAGCATTTTGCGCAGCAGCACGACGGCTTCCCACCAAGCGCGATCTGCAAGTGAAGAGCGAGGGCTTGGCTTTTGGGGACAAGAGCTGGAGCATGCAAGCTTGTTGGTTTGATGTGTCTTGCGGGAAGGGGTGGGTTTCTGTTCTCAGGTGTCGGCAAAAGATGCTTGAACATCTGGGGAGAAACAGTCCTGAACCAGGGTGAAGCCTGGTAGATCCTTGCTGGAAGTTCGTCCGTTTCTTGAACATTATTGAACAACAACGATGACAACGACGGCGGCGACGACGACCAGGACAACAACAAAAGCAAAAACAACAACTAGTACTACTAGTACTACTAGTACTACTAGTACTACTAGTACTACTAGTACTACTACTACTACTACTACTACTACTAATACTACTACTACGACGACGACGACTACTACTATTAGTATTACTACGACGACTACCACTACCACTACCACTACCACTACCACTACCACTACCACTACCACTACCACTACCACGACCACGACTACGACTACGACTACGACTACGACTTCTACTTCTACTTCTACTTCTACTTCTACTTCTACTTCTACTTCTACTTCTACTTCTACTTCTACTTTCTACTTCTACTACTACTACTACTACTAGTAGTAGTAGTAGTAGTAGTAGTGGTAG